AATTAATTTATAGAGTTTCTTTTTTCTCTCCCTCAGTTCTAATTGTGATTTACATGTTTACACCGCTTACATGATTAGCATTCTTAAATTTCACCACTTGTGACTAGGAACTATAGAAGAAGGCTGGTGCACCAGTATACAATTACAGGCATTACAGGTCTGATTAAAAACGACTGCTTATACTAACAGCTGTCAGTCATTGTGACACACTTATAATCACAAAGATAAAATACCAGCGTGAAATGCCCACTAATGCCCACGTGTCACTTGACTTTATGTTGGTGCATGCTAACATTTGGTAATTCACAGTGAATTCTCATTAATGACAATGTCCTTAATCTGGCAGATGTTTGTCTACTAATTAAACTAAGGGGAAATTAAAAATTTCAGCTCATGATGGGGCAAGATGAAAAACCAGTGCACAGGGATTCATTATCAAGAAGCCATAATGATCTTTAGCTTGTCCCAAGCCATTTTGTCTTGCTGGTGGCATAAAATGGAAACTCAACCTTTGGAAACATGAATATATTTACCAAATGTTTTGACAGGTCAGTAATACATGTCACAAAAATGGCAGAATCCATCTTTGGAGGAACAGAACTGTGCCTAGGCCTTCGAAAAAATAAATAAATGGAAAAAAAATAAATAAATAAATTTAATAATAAACACATTACATTTTCATTATGTATTAAATACATTCCTATATTAAAACCACCCCATTACTGTGTTTTTACTTGATATTACTGTGCTGTTTCATCTGTGAGCTGGTTTCTTGTCTACCTGTTACATAATATAAATATATTTTGGGCAGTAAACTCTGCCACACTCCAAATCATTTGTTCAGACCTAATTTGAGTTGTCTAAAAATAAAATGAAGAGCACTGCAGAGATACAGACAGTCCCCTCTTGATTCAATACTGTGCTAATGATAGAGGCCAGTGGTATTATAAACCCTTTCAGAATGCATTCAGTTTTACAAGTGTGTGTTTGTATTTATATGTGTGGTGTGTGTATATTGTGAAAATGTAGACTGTAATGAGAGCTGAGCAGGGTTATCTGGCTGAGCTGAAACAGATTTCACAGCCATGAATAAAATATGATGCTCCCCTAACAAAAGCACCTCCTGCAGTGAAATGACAGACTTGTATGTGGTCCTTTACCAGCAGAGCATGCCTTGGAGAAATCACTGCTAATCATTAACTTGAAGCTGGATGGCTTTGTTTTTTTCCCGCTGTATCCCCACAGTTGGGTTGTGAAATATCAGGCCCAGACAACAACACCGTTGATATTTGACTCTTGTCAACATCACATGCACACAGTATGAATGTACCTGCTACCTTGGAGATCATAACAAACAGTCAGCAATGACAATATCAGAGAGCAGCAGGTATTATTGCTCCTACAGGCTGTTGTAACTAAAAATAGGAGCTGACACGCAAATGCATTTGCTTATATATAAAATTTTTTATTTGATTATATATCAAATAAAAATTTGATTGCCAAATTACAAAAGAACATGCTTATAGCCGATATAATGCTGTATCACTGTGAATTTAAAAGAAATCAGCGTTTTTCTTACTTTGTGTTTAGAGTTGGACGTTAAAGACAGCCTCATTCACACTGGATCAAAAATATGAAAATATCAACATCCGTGTGACTAGAAAAAAACTGTGGGTTCCTCAATGATTGCATTCAAATATTTTTGCTTTCATTCACAAATAAATAAGCAACCAACTGGACACCCAGAGGTTCATGTGAATACTTTTGATTGGAAGGCAATTCAGTGTCAGGAGGCAATCAATCACTATCCCGCAGCAGCTACATCACTGTTTGTGGAGACATTTCAGTTTCAATTCTGGGTCTGGCTGGACCAGAAGTGTCAAACATATTTTAAATCATGGCGCATACAGCCCACTTTGTTCTTATGTGGGCCGGACCAGTGAAAGTCCTCTTCTTGTTACATTTAATCTATGGGATAACTCACCTTTTCTATAAGAAAAGGTTCAATTTCAACAGCACCATTAATTTCTTTCCATTTTTTTGATAAAGTAACACTATTGTTCAAAAGTCCAAAATCTATGCCCTTCGTCACTCATTCAGTGGGCTGGACTGGAGTCATTGCGGGGCCGATTTTGGCCCCTGGGTCTTATGTTTAACACCACTCTGACTGTAAGTATGTGAATATCTGTGTAATGTGGGTTTCTCTGCATGTACATAGTAACAGGTTTATGATTTTTGTAGATTTTTGCCATTATTATCTTAAACAGATTACTTAGAATTGCTAACCTGACCATTCTCAGTTACAAACAGACAGTTTATTGCACCAAAATTGCTTTGGTGTGTCAAAATGGCAGCTTACTTTGAATAGTCACAGACTTCGTACCCATCTTTGAATAATTTTAAAGGCAGCACGTTTGCAAGTTCCTGGTGTTACAGCTTCCAACCACTCATGTGGATACGCGTTTGTCACTGCTAAATGTTACAAAAAGAAATAATGTGTGGCACTTTGATAAATTAAATGTATATTGATGATGTCACTGTATTGCTGTGAAATAATGCATTAATGTTCCAAAATCCAGCATTTAAAAGCAGTTACATTAAGTGTGTTACATAAGTTCATCATCATTAGGCGCCCTTTCCTGTGCCTTTTTTTTAGCACAAGCATTCACCTGACATCAGTTTATAGGAGAGCAAGAACAAAATGCCACAGACTAAGAAGTCTATTGGATTGGGAAGTGCTGTAAATGTTTAATCCTAATGGCTTGCTTATTTGAAAAAGTGATTAAACAACTAATAGCTTAAATGAACAATAAACATATTGTGTTATTAAAAAAGTACTCTAAGGAGTTAGTTTGTATTATGTTAGCCTCAACACTGTTAACAATTAATGTATAATATATTCCTTCACAGTAACAACTGCAATCCCCAAGTTAGCTTGTATCTCTACTGCACATCGTTGGGTCTGTGTAAAGTCGGGTGCATCAGTCTTTCCTTGTTTTGATGTATGGGATGAGGACTGAAATGCACAGTAAATGTACCATAAACACAAAACACGTGGCTAAAACATTCTGTGTTCCAGTAATTCCTATTTTTTGTGTTCCTGCACAAAATGGATCTTCACATTTATAGTACATCTCCCATTACCAGTGAAGGTTACCTAATAGAAACAAATGGGTTTTTTTTTCAGGTTGTTGCAAAACAGGCAATCCAATATGCTTTGTTGTTTTCCCGACACTGCTTCTGTTGTTTGTCTCAGGGCTGAACAGGAGGAGTAATTAAATGTTCTCTCATCCTCACCATTATCCATAGTCAGGGCAATGCTTCGCCATGGGTATTGTGCTTACTATTGATTAAGAGACTAGAGAAATACAGACTGATCGAGAAACAGAAAAGATATTTTGAAGCGGAAGAATAGATGGAAAGATAGAAGAAGATTATAGAAAATGAGTCACAATTTGCCGTTTGTTGCAAACCACCCAAATCATCTTTGTAGAGCAACAACTGGTCAAGACGCATATAAAGCCTTATGATTGTCCTGTACATTTACTGTAGAAATCTAGTTTCTGCACAGGGACTCACTCGCCCCGATATTATTTTTTTGCTAAAAAGTGCATGTTTGCTTTTTAGACAAAATATTCAATTTTTGTAACAAGTACAATGCTTTTACAGCTGCAAGAGCACCAAGACAGGGCTCGTAATGGATCGCTTCAAAAGCTCCAGGAACACCTTCACGTAGTTTACTCTATCTCTTATTTTCAATTACATTACTGTAATTTACACTTTCATAACCACAGACAAGACGGGTCATAATGTGTTGAGTTGATGCTCTGCTTGCAGTTACTTCCGTTGTGAGATATGCATTGACTGCTTGCAGTCTGCTGGCCCAGATAGGCTTGTGTTGTGTCTACCGAGCAGGGCACTGTCCCACATTCAGACTGCTCTTCATTCCCAGAGTGACTAACACAACAACAGGAAAGTAAATGGATGTGTAATGGGGCAGCGGGCGACTGCGTCACCCCAGTGCCCCAAATACAAGGTATATGTGGTAGTTTCAGCTAAGTAAAAATAGTATCATGAATGTTTGATGATGCTTCTGCTCTTTGCTTATTTGCTTACTTTTAAAATAAAAAAAATAAGCCATCTAGTCATCAGTCATCATATGAATCACTGCTGATAAAACTTAAAAAATCTTACTTAGCATAGGATGAGAGGTGAAGATGCTGAGCAAAGATCTCCACACCTAACCTATCAGCACACATTTTAATTTAGTTTAGAATTGCAGTAGTAGTTATTGTGAATTAAAATGATCGACTCTGAGTTTAATAACTGGTAACTGTAATTCTTGAATATGATCATCAAATAATCAAATATCAAACATCAAATAATTATAGAATCATTCTAAATGTTTTGAAGTATCACTGTTCTCTGGAAAAGGATGTTTATTGCTAGAAAGAATTCAAATTGATCATGACATAAAGTTTGCATGTAGCTGTCTGTGGTTCAGGATGTTTGTACGTTAGTTTATGGCATATACATAATAAGAGTCCTATTGCTTCATTTTTAAAATTAATCATTTAAATTTAAAGAAATAAAGAAATGTACGTTTCTCTTGTTTTTCAATTACATTCAGCTCATTTACTTCTTTGAATTTATGTGAGAAAGACTGAAAAGTCATTAGCACATGTGCTCAATAGATTGTATTTACTGAATATTTAGCATGCAAAGTCTTCTAAAACAAAAGCAAAATTGAACAACCAACAATGCAATTTTGAATCTGTTCTTCAAACATTTAATTTTAACAGAGGTGTGAATCATGGAGATGGAGAAGTGGCTTCTCATTAATTAGAAATGTTTTGGTCTGCTTTCATTGCTGTTATAAAATGGCTGGGAAACGAGGTCAGCCCGTCTGTCTGTGTGTCTGATCAGTGGATGAGTGCATTTTCATAACTCTAATACCGTTTTGGTATAATGAGAATGAAGTCACACAGTGCAACAATAAATGCAGATTAACTTTTTTAATGCAAAAAGAAGAAGAGGGAGATTACATTCATGTGGAGCACAGTAACATACCATATATGGCAGTATGCTTTTTTTAGTCTTTATCCGTTTTCTGGCATTTCAAACAGGCTGGCCTATGTGGTACACATGCACTAAAGAAAATATTTACCACTCTTTAAGTGCTCAGGAAAGTTTTGCATTTAATTCATTTAAAGGATTGATAAGTTAAGGAGCACATCTAATGCAGAAACACATCAAATGCTGAAGGAGCACAATGACATATTATAAATAAACTTATCTGCAGTATTTGTTTAACATACTGTACATGTTTAAGAATATATAAACAGTAAATCTGAGTATTGCATCATGCAGAAAACTATTTTCAGCAAAGATTAGATGGAATTCAGTGGAAGAGTATCAGCAGGACGTTGTATTTCATTGTAACCTTGATGGAACGTCTGCTGTTTATGCTGCTTGTTTTGGTTAATTAGGTATCAATCCATTATAGAATGGAATTTAAATTACTCTTTAACTCTACTTGGAAACGTTTTTGCTAGTCGATAATCCGTAAAAAACTCATTACAGTTCAGTGACATATTTTAAACCAACCAAATCACCAGAAATGATGGTGGGAATCTCATTCGGGAATCTTTGACTGCCTAAACAATTTTTATCATTTAGAACAGAAGTGAAAGCTAAACTCTGCCTGTTGAGCTGAGTGAAATGAGCTGACAGATTACCTGCAGTTTAAGATACACAGTATTATGCAATAACAACATCGAAGTGCAATTGATTATTTTGGCACAGTTTCAGATATTAAGTGGTCACTCACTTAGTTGTTCATTGTAAACACACAAACTACCACAGCAGGTATAATTGCCTGCATACAACAGTGTCTATTTCACAGACAAGGTAAGACAAGTAGTGGCAGGGCTGAGCAATAAAGCAATAATGATAATTACCACAATATAGTTTCCTCAGTGATAAAATATATCAGAAATATTCATAAATCCAGTGAACTCTCGAAAAGAGAGAACATAAAGCAGAGAGACCCTCTTCCCATTGAAAAAGACACCCTGCACAACATTTGTGCTGCTTGCTGTGACCCATGTTTTATTGTGATAGCACCCTCTACTCGGCAGAGTAATATAATGAAAGCAAATAAGAAGGATGATGCAGGGCTGCAAAGTCCACAAAGAGAGGGTTGGGAGTAGATGCATAAGATGGAAAAGAACGTACAACATGTAGGCCACCCAGTGACTTTTATATAACCTGTGCTGTTTATTATCCAGGAAAACTTAAACCAACACCTGGTTTCTATGTGTAATGACCATTCAGGTTAGGAACAGTTACTGGTTGTAATATATGTAAAAGAATGTGAACAGGCCACAACCAGACAAATCATTTATTTTGCTCTGAAAATTCCTACACATTTCTGACCAACTGCAATCACGGAGGTAAACAAAGGTGCGATCAAAAAGTTCTGACTTTACCAAGGAAAAGAAAGAAAGAAAGAAAATTCAGTTATAAAAAGAATAATAACTTTAGTTTGGCTAGAATCCGCACACCTCTTCCCCGCCTCTGCTTTTTGCAGATATGTCCAAGTGGTCACATCATGACTACTTGGACTGGACAAGTCAAATTTGGGGAGTAGGCAGCTGGTGAGAAAAAATAGTGTTGGCAAGGCCAAAAAGATTCAGGTTGCATAATGTTCACACAATCATCAGTCACACACACACACACACACACACACACACACACACACGCAAAGGTATGTTCTTGGTCATAATCCAACTACTTGCTGTGATATGAAGTTTGGTGACTGGTCTCTCAAGTCTAAGGACCATTGTGAAATCACAGGTTCACAGTTGGTCAGAACTGTACTTCCATGTAGTGATCAAACAGTAACAATCCAGAGGTGCACATTGAGATTACCATAAAGGTTTTCTTTTGCTTTTAGGACTATTTGAACAACTCATTTGATTTCTTTATTGACTGTAAAGTTTCTTTACTACATAAATGCATATATCAATTCAAACTACCACTTACCAGTCTTTATTTGAGTCTTTTATTTGAGTTTATAGCCCAAACATGAATATTTGGGCTATAATCACATAGTGCATGACTGATATAAAAATAAATAACTTACATAGCTAAAGAACTAACAAAACATAGCAAATATTGTGATAACTATCATTATTGCTTGATACTGTACTTTTATTTTGATATTTCAGACAGATTGCTCAGCAAACCATTAGCTTATAATCATCCACACTCATTGTACTGTATATTGCAGTCCACAGAGACAAGTTTTAACTACAGGGATTGCATGCATGGAGCTGGTGTTGATAAAGGAAACAGTCAAGCAGGTCACCCCATCCTTGCAGATTCACAGTATTAAGAGATTTCAAAGGATAAATGATCTACAGTAGAGGTCCAGTTTTATTGCCACTGTTTGTCAAACAGACCTTCGTTGTCCTCGCGCTTGTGCCCTGTTGACTATATCCTGGTACATCTTGGACCTGAGAAACCGTGGGTAGGAGTCTTTCTCCATGAGGCTGTAGATTTTACCTTGGACTTCATTGAGGCTGGTTGGGGTGGGATCCGCCAGGCCCTGCTTAGTCCTCTCCCTGGTACGGTAGTCAATGTTAATCTGCCAGGACAAAGAGAGGAAAGAATAATTTTGAAGATAAGAGTCATTTACTTTCATTAATGTAATAGTCAGTTTGTTAATTTGTCATAATAAATAATAAAATGTCCCCCTTAACTACATGCATGAACCTCCTCTGAGGTCTTCCTCTTTTCTTCCTGCCTGGCAGCTCCATATGCAACATCCTTTTCCCAAAATATGCACTATCCATACTCTCCAGTATATGTGCAACCAATCTTGGTCTTACCTCTCTTTGCCTACAAACTTTGTCTACAAACCACTCAACCTGAGTGGTCAGTCCCATTTTGGTCAGTCCCAGTGGACATCTTAGGATCTTCAGCTCTGCCACCTATAGTGCCAGCTTCTGTCTTGTTGACACTGCCAAACCATCATAGCAGGTCTCACTACCATCTTGTAAATCTTCCCTTTCAGTCTTGCTGCTATCCTTCCTTGTCGCACATCACTACTAGATGCTACCAGTCTACTTCTATCCTGTTACCATGATAAGAATCTTTTAATTTCTTTTGACCGGGTTTATCATGGGTTTAAAGTAGTGAATCATGGGTTTAAAAATTAATAGTCTTTTTATCGATTCAAGTCTGTCGAAAACTGCATTAACTTACCTCTCTTGGTGCCTGAACCTCAACAAACTCTTTAAATATCTTGTTTGCTTTTGACACCAGCTTAGCTGAGCTCTTGATTTTTTTGTAGTCTTCACAGGCCATCCAAAACTCAATATTCTCATCACTGAATTCTGATTTAAGAAATGTCCGGAAAGCTGCCAGCCCATCTGAGAAAAAAAAAAAAAAAAAAAAAAAAAAAGAATCAAAAAGTTAAAGAATGTAAAATATAAAAACACATAAGACTCACGTTTCTGTACAGCAGCTCATTTTACCCTTTATTATCCTTTGGTGTATGATGAACATAAGCAGGAAATTGTATTATACCGTAGTTACAACATAAATAAATCAGGACAAAATATTCCCACAAAGAGAACACATTTTTGTCAGCCAAGATTAGTGAGTAATTAATGTGCTCCCTGTTGACGTTATGAGAAGAGGGGCATGTTTTTCTATGTGCCTGTGTCATATGCTGACATGTCATTTCCACCCTTTCTGCTGTTTACCTCTTAACACGGTGCAAAGCATGTTTTATGCAGCAATACTGTTTTGATTGGCCTCCAACAGCATATACGCTTACTGTGTTTTTTGTTCTTCTTACCAACAAAAGCACGAGAAAAAAAACCTTAGATTTTTTTCCAAAAAAAAAAACCTCAATTAAACCAAATGAGACAAAAAGTATTACACTTCATTTATTTGAGGATGACTGACAGAAGAATATGAATATGTTTTCTGTATCATTTGGGACCTCATTTATCACAAATGAGTGTGAGAACTGGAGCTAAACATTTCCAGTAACACTAAATCACTGTTGGATATCAACTTAATGGACGTTTTGCCATATTTGTCTCTAAACAAGTATAGGATGATGTCAGGTTTTTGCACATGAACTGTTACGTTTAGGTAGTTTTACAGATTTTTTTGTGTTATTTGAAGGTTGTTTGTAGATAAATGAAACAAAAATAAACCTGTTTTTACGTTAAAGATACACGAGCAATCCACTACTATGGCTATATAAGCACTAACAAGCACATAGGCACAATTCTAGGTTCCTGTTAGACACCATCACCAGACTTCTTACTCCTGCTCAATCTGGTTTTCCTAACATGACTGTGATTTTTTTTTTTTTTTTTGCTGGTAAGGTCAATGGTATCAGATCACAGTTCAAGCCAGGAACCTTCCAATCTGTCCAAGTGTCTCAGCCCACCCCATTGTCTGAGTTTTATCCAATTTCCATGACAGATCTGCCAGATATAGTTTGCATATGTACACTTCTTCATGCCCAATTGATATTCGTTGCAAATCTTTTAATGAGGTTCTACTTATCACCTCCACCTCCTGTCCATTATCAGCCAGTCTCTATCTTCTGTGTACATGCCAGATTTCTTTAAAACAGTCACTGCCATCCTTTTAAAACCTCTCCTCAGATCCCACCATTTCAGACGTTTACAGCCCATTTCAAAACTTCCATCAATTTGCTAAATCCTTAGGAAAATTGTGGACCATAAGTTACGTATTTCTCCTGTCCTCACCCTTTTAGACATCTCTGGTACAGAACCATTAACGTTTTTTTCCTTTCGGTATTTTTTCTCCTAATCTGTTATGCATAAAAAAAGGTATTGCTTGTTATTTTGTTCTAACAAGTCACATATTAGCTAACAGTGCCCACAGGTTGTATGCATCCAGATGAAATACACAGTATTCCTTTTAAAGCAAATTAAGGTTAAAACCCTATTACAGGAACATCCAGCACTCTGTTCCTATTGATTTAACATCACTTATGTAATCCAAATATGTGTGTGTTTGTATCTACATTTTGTAGTGTGCTGCTCTAATGCTTGGTCAGTTGAAACAGGATGCACAGGTGCATCACGCTCCCTGTGTCTAGGGAAATCCTCTAGTTTTGCCTGGGAAACATTATTTTGTTGTGTGTCAAACTGATGTGTTATGTCATAACCTCAATTTTAATGAAGCTGTTCAAGTGAGTATGACTTTGCTTCATTCAAGACTACAATTTGTTAGCCTAGTGTTATGGCGTTCAACACTGAACAAAACTGGGATGCAGCTGTTGCCACCCACCGTTTGGACTCCAACTCTTATTAATATTTGCAGAAATCTTGTCCAAAACACGCTAATAACTACACACGTGTCTATTAACTGACAGCAATCTTAAAAGTGCAAGTAACACCGTGCAACAAGGATACATTGATTTGGATAGGACTTCAGTTTTGGTGTATGTATGAGAATTATGGTGTGTTTTAAAGTCTTGTTCTTTATTGTCTTTGCTGGTGAAATGATGAGGAAACAACAAAGGGACATATGTGTTTTTTAATCTGCCAGGTTTGTAACTGCTCATAAACCCTGGTATCTTTCACCTGGAAAAGCCCTAAATTGTACCGTATGTAAAGATGAATGAATTTCATATAATTGTACTAAGAACAGAATACACAGAGACCCAGCTAAAACATTCACCTAGCATTTCATTTAAAAAACAAAAAAAGAAGGTAACTGTGGATTGACATTTAGTTAGCAAGGACAGTAAAAATAAAGATGGTCCTGGGTGAACTTTAAAAAAGTGAAATGATACAATGATGGACACCCTAAACCTTTCCTGTAGTAGAACTACTGGGATAATCACGTTATGGTTTTAGACATTCATCATTCACCAAATATCCAGCAGTTCAAGCTCACTCATGTTTGGTTATATTCATGTATAACAAAACAATGATTTTAATTATTTGAGACAATATTTGGCAGATTAATTGGCAAAAAAGGACAAACAAATAGCTAGTTATAACCTCATGTGTTTCTTTATCAAAAAACATTTTATAGTATTTCTCTCGCCTTGCTACAGATACTGACACATTATTGCCACAATCATTGGTCATATAACTGGACAGGTATAGAGTGTTTTTATTACCATTTTTAGGGAAGCATATGTTGTAAATTGTGTGCTTGATCTATGTACATGTATGCATACGTACAATAAGGAAGACAAAGCTGTCAGCTCATCAAATGTTACTTGGGGTCAACAGTCCCGAAGGCATCATTAAACTCATCCAGTACTAGCTGACTGACCCAAGATTTTGAGTTGTTCCAGGAAACGTGGATAGGACCTCAAGCAGCCTAGATTAAACGTTCACGTCCTACAAACGACGATTGATTTCTATATCAGTAAAAAAAAAAATGGATTTGACCTTTGAGGTTCAGCAAGACACGAGCATCCTAATTGTAGGAGGAAAATGTTTGAATTTGATTTGAGTTGATCCGACTCTCACCAAGTGAATGTGCCCTTTACTCTTTTAGTTTAGAGTTTTCTGTCAAAGACGCTACGTCACATGGCTTGTCAGCACAAAATAAATCCATGACCTATTTGTGCAGACAGACGTGTGAGTTGTGAGTGCGTGCTGCTGTCTGTTTGGTCCAAGGGGAAGGTCAAAGACGAGGATGTGACTCATTATGCGGCACGGACTCTTAACAACAAAGAAATGACACACTTGCATAACGTGGGCTTGAAAGGAGAACAGTAAAATTTGTTTGTCCTGAGCGAAAAATAAAAAGTATTAAAGAAACTGGAAGGGGCTCGTTTACTTCTGTATAAGGTGGCTTTTATTTTCTTGGGGCTGGCTATGAGTGTTCTGCGCAGTACGAACTGTTCCCACAGAAAATAGAAAGTGTTCACTTACACTTATGAGTGAGGAGGCTATCGAATGATTCAGACCATCGAACAACTTCATCGGTTGATAGTCTGATGGAGAGAAAGACAAAAAGAAGTGCCTCAGTTACATGCTAATCAACAACTATGCTTTAATGCATTTTGAGTCCTCTGCAGTGTTTTATATAAATTCTTGAATGGCAGCTGAGTTTAATGCATGATTAATTCCTCCTCATACTAATTCTTATTCTCAGGGCCATAAAACATTTCAAATAACAGGTTACTTTTAAAGATTAGAGGAGACAACAGAGCTACAATTAAATGATTCATGTCTTCCACAGCATGTGCATAGCAGTCTGAAATATTTTATGAAATATTTCTGAAATATTTTAAAACAATGCCACAAAGGTACACCGTCAGAACATCTGATGGTGTACCTTTTTTCCAACTGGCCAAAATAATATTTACTTGATTATTACTAGCCTAAGCGCAAAAAGGGCTATGTTAAACAGACAATTATGCTGTACAGTTTGCTCTGTCTGTGCTTTTGGCTCATACAGTTAATGACATTGAGAAAAGATTTTAAAAAATGGGGCGTTAAATATAGAACTTATGGAATGTCTATTTATATGCAGCAACATGTAAGTTAGTAATCTATATATGATTAAGGGACTGTGTGTTTCATTGTCAAAAGAATAAAAATCATAAAAAGTGGCATGCAAGATTAAATTCAGTGAAATATTTTGTAAACAAATCTATAAAAGAGGACTTTTTAATTTCCACCATGAATCTGTATTTACATGCATTATGGTGAACCTGTACATATGAGTAACATGCACCTGACAAAAAAAAAATTCTTGGACATGCTTTAAAAAAAAGACTGGAAAGTTGGCTAGATCAGTTCACACGGTTTGAAATGCCATCGCCTAACATACATTTAGAAGGTTACTTATCCAACATTAAAGTTTTGATGTAACCCCAAAGTACAGTAAGCTTGACTTCATAATATCTCATATGATATAATGTAATTTCGAGGCCGTAAACACAATTTGGAAATACCAAAAATGGTTATATTTAACATTATATAATATTATTATATCATTTTGATATATTACATGTCATTGTGGTGAAATTAAACTGACCAAAGACAATTTTATAAAATGCTATACATGCTATAAATTTCAGCCAGTTGATAGGTGGGTGCTAGGCAATATGATGATATCATAATATCTGATATAGATAAGAATCAGACAGCTTCGAAGCCTAAAGTGCATTTGTTTGCCAACTTAGGTTGGGCAGACAAACAAACAGAATGGTTTAGTGCAGCAGTAACATTTATACAGTCATTAGAGCGGGACATGCACCGCTGAAGTTATCTCCTCTAGTAAATGCCAAGGGTGATTCTTGCAAATATGTTATGACTTACGACTTGCATTAATAATAATAACTATAATAATAAAAATAATACTTGTGTCATTCTCAGAATGTATAATACTTTTGCCGACATACTGCTCAAATGGAAAGTAATAAATTACATTCATATCACCTCAAATTAAAGGAAGTCTTAAAGGCAACTTTTCCTTGAAAGGTCTGATAATTCTAATTATTTTACACAACAACAGGTCAAGCACAAACATAATTTGTAGTCTTATAAAACCAGCACAGGAAGGCGTTTTTTCTGGCAAACTCACTTCAGACACCTGGCTGTGGTTTCGTGGGCTGGAGGCAGGAATTCTGAGAAGTCATTGTAGGAGTCAGATTTGTGGGACAGACAGCCTAGTCTGGTCTTCATGGTGCAAATCTTGCTGAAAAAGAACACAGTATTTAATGGTTTTCAACATTTTTTTTTAAATCATGAAAACTGACTTTTGCATCATTTTCCATATTGTCATGGTACTTTGCAAGAGTCGCCACTTTATGTAACACTACCTGCATCAGGACTGAACCTGTGCTCCAAAATCATTCACAGCACTTTAACCACAACACACCTCCAACCTTCTCCACTGGACCCCCTCCCCCCAACCCCTTCTTGCTTTTCCCTGTGCCATGCTATTTATAATATACCAGAAACACCTCTGCTATCAAGAACCTTGCTCTTATATAGTTGCTGTTGCCAAGGTGGCTAATCATATGTTTTGTCTTTGCGTAATTGGGCTGTTCCTTCAGATGATGTATTTATAAGTTCTCAAATGTTGATGGATGGCCTGCTGAATAAGCTGATCATAAAGAAACAAGATGCAGGCCAACTGAATCCAAAAGACAGGACTAAACATGGACAACAGGTGCAACTCCATATGCAAAGAGCCGATTCCGTATGGCTCTGCCTCATTCAGAATGGAGCTTCAAACATCACTGATACCCAACTTTCCTTCCTGAGGTGTTTTGGTGTGGCTGTGTAATGCACGTGATGCAAAGTTTAAAATGAGTTTCACAGAGTGTGAAAGGTAAAGATTTTTTTTTCAATTTTTCTGTGTTACCTGCACGATAGATAATAAAACAAATTAAAAATGTATTTTTGCCGCTATTCTGCTCATCATCTTATTTATTACCATTAAACCAATCACAGTGATAGAACAGCCAACCAACAGCTAGGCTTATTTGTGATTTCTCTATAAATATATATATATATATATAAATATAATTTCTCTATATCATGTTTGTAGTATTTAGATGACCATTCAACATGTGGGGAGTCTTTAAAAGCCCCACTGTGTATTTCCCCACCCACCTCGCCCACACCCAACCCCCAACAAAAAAAAAAAACAGCATCTCTCATGGACCACACTGAAACAAACCATATCTCCATCTCTCATCACAGTCTGTCCTGTTTCATTTGTACACTGCTGCTGCCATGTACAATTTGTCACTGTTCTGCCTCTGGGACAGATGGGTCACTCCAGATGGGGCATGGTTATAAAGATGCTGTTTTTTAAAAGTAAGTCTATACGGATAGTCTCAATAAACTGTCATTAAGTCTCACTGTTGTCATTAGTACTACTTACTTCCTTATGTAATTTTAACTGTAAAATGCTACTGGTGTATCACTGTGTATTTAAATCCAGTGATGTCTGTCATCACTGAGGAAAAGACGTACCCTAACTAATAACTCTATGCTATATTTATTATATATTATATATTTGTGTCATTTGGCTTTCACCATGTCTTGATATTGTAGATCATTCATTAAATTTCAGATTTTAATTTTCATAAAATACTTAGTTTGCTAACTGGTTTAGCTTTTTTCTAGTTATCTATCAGTTGTTATACATTACATGAACAAAAGTACTGAGCTACCTACACGTTACACCTAGAGAAACTGCTCTGCCGTGTAAGCTCATACTATGAAGCTCCCAGCACACAGTTTTTGTCCTGATGTGAATGCCAAGAGGAGTTTTGGAGAAACATTGGTGACTTTATGTGGCTTTCTTTCTTGGTGACTGAGTTGTTGTGGTTGGTAAACACTTCCACTTTGCAATAACACCACATATATTTGAGCATGGAACACACAAACTGACTTATTGTTTGCAAATACTGACTCAGTGACTAGGTTCTTGATTCTATACAAGTGTGGCACCTTGAAAAACCTTGAATTCAAAGATAAAGAGGTGCGGAAAAGTATTGTTGTCCCTGCCGTCTACGACATTTTACCAGATGACTGCATGACTTTTGTTTTATCTGTAGTAAAAGCCAAATAAAGTCACTCTTTATTTGTTTCCAGTCTTTCAGCTGATCTACGGTAAACAGCTGCTGACAGTAGCACGTATGTGGGTAAAGATTTGTCTTGTCCACTCACTTTGTTGCAGTGTTACATCTACAGGATGTTTGCTTGGCTTTGGTGATAGTCCTGTTATGTAAACATTTCCAGAGTGGGCTACTTTATTAGACACTGATGAGCTTTAGAATGACTCAAGCAGCTTGTGTCTCCATCCTTCTTTCCATTGTATTTGTCCATCCATCATAAAAGCCATTATTTTGGATAATTGTCCCAGTTTAGTGTCCCTTTTTCTTCGATGACATCAGTGCAGCAGAGGAGTTGGAGCACTGGATTGTTTTGATGTTTGGACCTTGAAGTGGGAACATTGCATGAAATGTACTGTTTATTAGCTGACTGAAATCCATTTGTTGGACATAATGGGCTTCATCCAGCACATGAATTCCAAAGCTCTTTAAAATATTACTTTTTGTTCTTGGTCTATCCACTCCTGGGTGTTTTGAGGTGTTGCATGCATGTAAGAGAGTGTACGTTCACTTATGTTTGAGCTGCACTAATGCAGAAGGTTTGTGGTATTGCTATTTAATGAAATTTATTCAGCACTCTGCCATTAAGTGGAAGAGGTAAGCCAGTGAAGTAAATCTATGTTCACAGAGGAGAACATGAGGTTACAAAACAATCAATGAAACCTAGAAGATTGTGCACTGACAGATTTGTTTGGGTTTCGGTTATAAGTTAATGCTCTGTCAAAAACCTTTTCTATTCATCAAACGTAAATCTAAATAAAGACTGTAGGAGGGTTGTTTCAGATGCACTGCAGATGCGATGCAGCTTGCCCCAGAAACGCCCAAGTTATATATCGGATGTTATATATAAAACAAATCCACTCAACTAGAAAGGCAGCTTATGTGTCATCTATATGAGTCATAATCTCAAGGTGCACTTAACACAAGGTATTATTGAAAATTCATTTTCAGAGAGGAAAGCTAAAATAATAGGCAGGGATATTTTAAGCATGATAGACTATGTATAGACTTAGTTAACTAAAGATCACTAGTGAGGGCTGAGTTTTGCGTCAGTAGTTAGAAACATTATAAAAAAAGACTGATGTTAGAATGAAACAAATATAGCAATAACACCAGAAAGACTAAACTTTAGATTTAGATTTAAAATATCACATGACAAATTTGTAATGTGATTTTTTAAATCAAAATTGTCAAATTTAGTGGCTGTTAAGCAGCTTTTACACACAATTTCCCCCACAAGATGATGCAAAGCTTTAAACCTATTAACATCCACCAGATTTCTGCCGATTCCTCTGATGCAGTACGAGCATTTGGTCCCATTAAGCTAAAGAAGCATAGTTTCAGATACTTAAACATACTTC